GGCGGCATAGTCGAAACATCAGGCTCAGTTATTACAATTTCTTAATTTCGGAAATCAACAGTTAAAACGTGCTAAAATTATACGGATAAACCTGGCATGAATGTCTTTACTTTGGGTAGTAAAGATAAACATTAAATGACAAATAAAGAGAAAGCTTAGCAACATGTTTCAAGATGGCGTTAATCGTAAACATGATTCAAAATCTCTAGGCGCCTGCGTTCGCATCGACGTTCTCCTACGAACCAATGGAACAGGAATGGTAACCATTCTTTTTGGTCCGTTTCACCATTCCTGCTTTACTTCCTAAAATCTCGAGCTGATCCTTTTATTAATTACCGTTAATGCTTTGCACAGATACCAGGAAATAAACTCAAGACTTTTCCGGACTTTTGTTCAAAACAATAATTTCTTTTTCCAGGCTCAAGATTATCAAATAAGTCATTGATCAATAGAGACCTTAAAAAACACAGGAACAAAGCTTTTTTCATGATACATGTAGGCTGAAAACATACGGGCGAAATTGAATAAGATTTGACCAAAACGAAAAAAAATATTGACTTATAAAACATTATTTGAAAAAAAGAAACTCAAGATTTTTTTACTATTTTTTCACACTTTATCTCCATTTTTGAGACTTTCGAATGTTGGAAGTTGTTGCGTCCGTTTGCACGCAGCCTCAAGTTTCTATAAAGCGTTGTAGGCAAAAACAACCCGATAAACTACCTTATTTTCACTTAATTTCGCGAGTATTAAATTTCGCGAAAAGTCGAACCTCGGAGCAGACGAACAGTAACAACAGAAAAAATAATTTTATCGTAAACAACAGCCATCCACGGAGACCCAGGGGCAGTCAGTCGGGTCGGGAGAAAGGGCGCGACGAAAGTTTTGAAGTACGGGCGAAAGAGCCCCTGGGTACCAAATATCAAACTGAAAGTTTCCTGACTGCATGTATTTCTTTGGTGCATGAGCCACACAAGCTGTGATTGAAACAATAGCCGTCGTGTACGAACTCACGAAAAGAACTCAGGAGAAACTGTTCGCCGATTGGGCACAATAATACAAAGCACTTTTTGTGCCCAATCAGGAGCCGGCATCCGCTTGAATTTTTGGAAATAGTTCGGTGAGAGTCGGTACCCAGGGGCTCTTTCGCCCGTACTTGAAAACTTTCGTCACGCCTTTTCTCCCGACCCGACCGACTGGCCCTAGGTCTCCGAGGATGAAACAACAGCAAACAAGGACAATTACAAAGAATGGGGGAGAAGAGTTCGGGGAGGTCTTAAAATTTTTTGAAGGGAAAAGTAGGGATGGTAAAAATTTCTGAAGGCAGGGCGGGGGAATGCTAATTGGTTTTTAGATGCCATTGAAAGATCAAAGTATTTGTAACATTGTTGAAAACCACTACACAAGTAAAGTTCCTTATTTTTTAGTTCAATGAAGCTCGGATGTTTTTATTATTAATGCACTAAGCTGCAATGTCTTTTACTTTGTGCAGTAACCAGCTCTATCCACATAATCATTATCTCCTTTCCTTTTATCCAGCTTTTCTAACGTCACGGATTGTTTCATTGTCACCAATATCGTTATCATCATCATCATCATTATCATCAAAATTAACCCACCTTTCTCACTATCAAAGTTTTAACGTTATGATTAAGTCCTCAGCTTCTATGTACGCAAGATTTAAATCAACTTTCGCAGCTTAGAAGGAGTGAAAATGATCATTAATATTTGGTTTGTTGGCTCTACAGTTACGCTGCAATCAGAATGATATACTTGACTACAGGTTGTGCACCGCTCTATGATAAGAAGTATAATCATATGCAAATTCCCATCAAGCTGGTGGCAAATCTTAAGAAAGCTTGTTAGATTTAGATCAAGGATGGAATTTCTTAGGATAGAAATTTCTTTCGATTGCGGTGTCATTAAAGGATATGGAACGAGGACTACAATGTCTGAAGAAAGCTTTTCCTCTATTAAGCCACATTCGGAGGCTGGCTGAGAATATGCTTGTTTGAGTCAAAAGACCAAATAGTTTTCAGTACGGAACCTGAAGCTTTCCGTGGAGTAGGCAGTGCCACTAATCTCAAATTATATTTTCCATTTGTAAAAACTCATTTTTACAGTCCTTACAATTCCCTGGTAAAAGGAAAATAAAAATAAAATTGAATCAAGGTAAATTTTGACCCGATGCATAACAAATATCACATTCAGTTTTTTTCTCTTTTGATGCAATACTCTAGCTGGCAATTTGGCCTTAATAATTAAAAATAGTGAGTTAACTTCCATTTCCTCTCTTGGAGAGATTTGTATTTCACTGAATGTAAAGTATGTGGACCTTTCTTCAGAGGTAGGCTGATTTGCAATTCCCTTTTCTTTTTGTGCATAACTGATCAGGCCATTCAATCGTCGCTCCACAGAGTAACCAAGAAAGGACAGATGGTAAGCCATCCTGCCTTTACTCAGTTTGAAAAACCAACTGAAACTTGGAAAGCAGTAAAATTATTACAAGAGAGGATAAAGGGGACAGAGAAGGCATCCTCTGTACACACCCTATTCCATAGGTAATTCGTCTTGAGTTATTTTTAAGACCACAGATCCCAAGGGGGATTGGACAACAGCCAATCACATAGCGAGAATGTGTTCCGCGTGGATGACCCACGCTCAGAGCCACGCGTCCTTCACGAATTGAGGCAGAAAAAAAATGGCGGAAGACGCGGAGAGCGATATTGCTATTCGTTTTGTCGACGAAAACGACTAAAGAGAGATTTCTGCTAAAGCTGTGTCAGCGAAACGGAAATTAAAAAAGAATCGCCCTTCCTCTCTTGCATAGAGCTAACAGTACAGCAGGGAAATCCTTAACACACTGAATATTCTCTCAGGATCATTTATAATTTACAGTTTGAAGAGAGAAATTTCTGGTTTGATATTTATTCTTTCATTAGTCTTTTATTATTCAACAAAAATAACACTTGGCGTCCTATAATAATAATAATAATAATGACAATTTAATAACTTCTAATTACATGTACATGAATATTACTTGCTACTTGCTTTATTGTACAAACGACCGGTTTCAATAGACCGGCGAAATTTCTCATTTTGTTAAAGCACTGAGGTTACGATAACTTCGAGTTAAACTGATTTCACGGGTTGTCAAAGAGTCGAGCGATTCCCTTTTCCCAGGTGAGCGCCGAGACTCATTTCGCTTCAATATTCAGAAATGCTCTCGATCTCTTTACGCTTTCATTGCCCTTCGCCCGACATGTTTTGCACGGCGTTTAGTCATGCGAAACCTCCACGAAACATCCACGCAGCGAGCGAGGTAACTTTATCCCGATTCTAAAAATAACTCGAGACGAATTACCTATGGAATAGGGTGTATATGGGGGATGCCTTCTCTGTCCCCTTTATCCTCTCTTGGTTTAACCTGTTATTTACACATAATTACCGGTACAACAACTTTTTAAAGGTTCCACTACTCTGAAAGTTAACGACGCAACTGATACAGATAATTGTCAATTACAACTTGTTTTACTTAATTACAAAAAAGGAAAATATATAATAAATAATATTCCTCTTTAGTTTAAAAACGTAACTATGTTTTATCAATGCTCTTGACTGTTACAAACAGTGGTACCTATCAAGTTCTGACATTCTTTTTACTCATATATATATTTTTATTTTTTTTATAATTTATTTATTAAACATAATTCAACATAACAGTACAATAAACTTTACAATAACATGGCGGAAAAAAAGGAGACAAAACAGTAAAAAAAAAAACAAACAAGGAAAAAAAACGCGAAATACTAAGGTTCAACAGATTAACAACTAGAAGAACAAATAGAAAAATAATATATAATGGTGCGCGTTTGCTAGATTACTAACTCAGGGTGGTCCACGTATTTCTGTATTTGTTAAGATTTCCATTTGTTATTGCAATTCTCTTTCGCACTGGATTTCAATTTCCGGAAGAACAATGAAAACTTCCAGCTCTGGGGTCTCAAACTTCTTTCTAGCTTAGTAAACGTAATATCTAGCAATTAAGAGATAATGGTTAAAAGTACGAAAGCTGTTAGATTCAGGTTTGTATCCATAAAGAACTTCCGTTGGATTGGGATTTACGTCTTCAGAACTTTTACGATTCCACCAATCTAGGACTTTTTCCCAAAAAATTTTGACGGCAGGACACTCCTGAAATATATGGCTAATAGTTTCACAAGGAGCATCACATTGTTCGCATTTTGGAGAAGATTTAACATTCATTTTCCAAAGGCGTTGACTGTTTGGAAGAATATTGTGGATGAGTTTGAACTGAAAACTTCTTCTCTTATTTTCAATGGTGGTTTTGAATGGAAGCTCATATACGGCACTAGGAGTGAATGTTTGTTCTCTTAAATAGGATTCTGTTAATGGAGGGCAGAAAGATTTCTCAGCAAACATTAGCCGAGCATATTTTGCTGGAACATTTCCAACAGTTAGTTGTGTCACCGTTGGTTCGTCGGTGTGTGCCTGACTGCCATGTAACAGGGGCACCCAACGACAATTTTCGGGAAATATCTGTTCGGAAGACGACTTGAGATCTAGAATTTTCGGAACATTTGTGGTAAAATTTCTTGCTTGCCTGCCTCTCCTAGGATTATCGAACATCTAAAAAATGGTATAATTGCTCATTTTTAACGGATTTTTTACTCTTAAAAGGTCACCTAGAATTTTCGGGAGCCTTTTTTCTGGCTGAAATTTTCGAAAAGGTAACTTTTGATCCCTATAATTTTCGGATTACTAGACTTTCAGCAAGGAAATCCGAACAGATGAAACATTTTTAGGGGATAAAAATATGCCTATATCTACCGTTTAAAAACTAAAATACATTTAACAATGCTATGTTTAAGTGGTTTTGAATTATATTCTCGTTGGGTGCCCCTGATATAAGATAGCATTTTTCCAATCTTTATAGGAATCGCGGCCAGAAGACAACCGTAATCAAGAAAGGTACCACGAACGTCGAAAGTATCTTTAAGGTCTTTGAAGGATAGGAAGTTATCGTAAGCATTGAGGATATCTTTGATTCTTAAAATGCCTTTACTAACCCGTGCTTTATAAAAAAAAACCGTCTTTCCACCGATCTTAATAAAGCGGATACAGTCGAACCTCTCCTTACGGACACCTCTCTAATACGGACAGTTCACTTGGTCCCGGGAAAATGCCCATACATTCTTTGTAAAAATAACCTCTATAATACGGACCCTCTATAATACGGACAACGGACACGAAATCTCGGCCCCAGAGAAAAAATTCATACAAACTGAACCTCTTTATTACGGACACTCCAATGATAACAGTTCTTATTCAACACGATTTCCTGTTTGTCGTTACATATCAGAGTGTAATCAATTGTCTCATTGTTCATACGATAACAGTATCATGTTTTCAGTCGGTAAAAATTATACTATCGACATGTCATTGCCATTTATCATCAAGATTTCTAATTCTTTGAAGACTCTCTAGTTAATGCCTTCCTTTTTCTACCTCTTTTCTTTTCGACATTTTCACTTGAAAGACTATCTTTACGGACAGCTGGGTTTTCTGTAAGATCCAAGCACTTCTCCAAACGCTCAATGAGTTTGTGCGGTCCAGTGAAAATATATTCACATGGGATCTCCATGCCTAATCCTCCGCCCCGATTGACTGCCTTCCCACATACGTTGACAACTCCATTGGTCCCTGGCTTTGCAAGAAAATGTGTTATAAGTCCCAAACCCTCTTTCGTATTGACCAACATCAAAGGCATGTGTCCCACGACTCGTCTATCCTTGACAACGCTGACTGCATTTCTGTCTTTCGGGTTCTCAGGTTCTGGTTGAAGTTGTAGACTTTCTCCGTTGTGAGGAGTCCACCACCCCTTGTAGACATGAAACGCTCTTATCCATGATAGAACGCTTAATGATTGAGTGCTAGCCATATCTCGTTGACTGGTTTTTGAGACCGAAAAACTGAAGGAAAACCACTGAGGTGTTAAATGCAAAAAACTATTCTTCTGTTGTTTCCGTTCCGCTAATTGTAGTTGTGGTACCGCTGGTTTCTGACTGGTTCCCATTTTTTAGAAGTGTGAATCGAAATTAGGCTGTCAATGAAACATGGTTACAGAATTTATTTCGTCACTTCAATGTCGTGAACGATATGCAATGGCGAAACGTAAGCGAAAAGAAATGACTTTGCAAGAAAAGGTAGAAGTAATAGATTTCAAAAACAAAAATCCAGCGACAGCACTGCGACAAATTGAAAATAAGTTTCAATGTGGTAAAACGCAGATCCAATCCATCCTCCGTGATCAACAAAACCTGCTCGATAAATCCACGGCTAGTGGAAATGCGGCCACGCGGCAAGAGAGCTAGAACATGCAGATTTCAAGACATCGACTTGGCCATGTTGTAGTGGTTCAGAAAGGCTAGAAGTAAGAACATTCCTGTTTCGGGACCAATTTTACAGCAGAAAGCCTGTGCTGTAGCCGCTCAAATGGGCATGGGGCAAGAGTTTAAAGCTTGAAATGGACGGCAAGAAAAATTCAAGATCCGATACAACATTAAGGGAATGACTGTGAGCGGCGAATCGGGAGAAGTACGCGAGGAAACAGTTCAGTCTTGGAAAGAGCGGTTACCAGTAATACTCGCAGGTTACAGCCCCCAAGACATTCTTAATATGGATGAGACAGGAAAATTCTGCCGTGCGTTACCAAACAAGTCCCTTTCTGAAGCAGCAAAGCAGTGCAGAGGTGGCAAACAATCCAAGGAGAGGATTACATGTGCGTTCTTTGTTAATGCCGCAGGGGGTAAAGAGAAACCGATAGTAATCGGAAAGTCAGCAAATCCCCGTTGTTTTAAAGGCATCAAAGATCTTTCGAACCTTCCATGCACTTACTTTCATCAAAAAAAGGCTTGGATGGATTTCGATATCCTGGACCAAGTCTTGACAAAACTGAATCGGAGGTGTCAGCGTGAAAGTCGAAGTGTTCTCTTGCTACTCGATAATGCACCTTGTCTCCCATACGACATGAAAGGCAAATATCCGAACATTAAATTTGTATTTTTTCCTCCGAATTGCACCTCGAGGCTCCAGCCTTTAGATTTGGGGATTATTCAGTCCTTCAAGCTAAAGTACGCAAAGCTGATGATGACTCACGTGGTCAGCCTAATTGATGACTGTGAAACAGCTGGAGATGTGTGCAAGTCTGTGAACGTCCTACAGGCCATCAGATGGATAGGACAGGCCTGGGAAGCGTAGAGCCATCCACCATAATCAAGTGTTTCGCTAATGCGGGAGTACTAGACAAAGAGAGAAATGTAGTTGAAGCTGTAGAACCCCCAAATGACGAGGACCCATTTGCAGACCTGGAAGATGAGGTTTCTCAGGTTGAGATGTTACTGAACGAGTCATGTGGTGACACTGCTGTGTCTGCACACGAAGCTATTGCAAACGAAAGTCTTCTTCCAGTCTGTCAAGAGTTAGGTGAAAACTGGGAGGAAAGGTTCCTATCAAGTTTGTCATCAGACTCAAATGGCGACAATGAAGGTGCAGACATTGACGATGAAGAGATCTCGGAGCTGGATGGTCTTCAAGCGCCAAAGCCGCTAAAAGTGAAGTCATATAGTGAGGCTTGCTCAGAACTTAACCATGTTTCTGTTTTTTTTACTGCACTAGGTGAATCAAATTTGGCTGATGAGTTATGCAAGATTATTTCAAAAGCTCAGTCGTTGTATGTCAAAAAACGACTAGCGAATGCTGTTCAGAAGAACATTACAGACTTCTTTAACGCAAAATGAATCAATAACAAAGAACTTTCATTAAATACTCTACTGTATGTTAGTAGTAGTATAGGGCGCACCGGTTACTCCGGTTTTTTGCGGAGGATTCTCATTAGAGTGCGGAGGAATACATTAACGCCAATGACGTCATAGGCTATTGTCCTCATCTCATGAATAAAATGCGGTGGATTTAATTAAGTATACTGGTGACTTAAAATCACTGAGACGTAACGTAATTATGTACTTCCTATTTCCTACTGCTGTGATTGTCCTTGTTCCGGTTCACTGATTTTTGGCGGGCAAATCGTGTATATTAAAGAGGATAAAGGCAAACTAGCTCTTTTTTACACTGCAAGCAATGTTTTACTTACCCCTCTCCTTTTCATTTTTTATTTTCCTCCACCTCCTCATTTTGTTTTTCCTTTTCCTCCTCATTTTTGTTTTCCCTCCTCCTCCTCCTCATTTTTATTGTTTTCCCTCCTCCTCCTCCTCCTCCTCCTCCTCATTTTTATTGTTTTTCCTTCTCCTCCTCCTCCTCCTCCTCATTTTTGTTTTCCGTGCTCCTCCTCCTCCTACTCCTCATTTTTGTTTTCCCTCTTCCTCCTCCTCATTTTTATTGTTTTCCCTCCTCCTCCTCCTCCTCCTCCTCCTCATTTTTATTGTTTTCCCTCCTCCTCCTCCTCCTCCTCATTTTTATTGTTTTTCCTCCTCCTCCTCCTCCTCATTTTTATTGTTTTCCCTTCTCCTCCTCCTCCTCCTCATTTTTATGGTTTTCCCTCCTCCTCCTCTTCCTCCTCCTCCTCCTCATTTCTATTGTTTTCCCTCGAAAATGCCAAAAGGCTAGTAGGGGTACAGGAAGGGTACAGGAAGGGTACAGTAGGGGTACAGGAGGGGTACAGGAGGGGTACAGTAGGGGTACAGTAGGGGTACAGGAAGGGTATAGTAGGGGTACAGGAGGGGTAAGTTCATAGAGTTCCGTTGTGCTTTGCAGCCGTGCCTCCATCGATAGCTATAAAAGAAGTAGTCATTGGAAATTTTGAAGATGATGACGACGATATTGAAAGCTCACAAGAAAGCGAACAATCATCTTCAAAATTTCCAATGACTACTTCTTTTATAGCTATCGATGGAGGCACGGCTGCAAAGCACAACGGAACTCTATGAACTTACCCCTCCTGTACCCCTAATTTACCCTTCCTGTACCCCTACTGTACCCCTCCTGTACCCCTCCTGTACCCTTCCTGTACCCTTCCTGTACCCCTACTAGCCTTTTGGCATTTTCGAGGGAAAACTATAGAAATGAGGAGGTGGAGGAGGAGGAGGAGGAGGAGGGAAAACAATAAAAATGAGGAGGAGGAGGAGGAGGGAAAACAATAAAAATGAGGAGGAGGAGGAGGGAAAACAAAAATGAGGAGTAGGAGGAGGAGGAGCAGGGAAAACAAAAATGAGGAGGAGGAGGAGGAGAAGGAAAAACAATAAAAATGAAGAGGAGGAGGAGGAGGGAAAACAATAAAAATGAGGAGGAGGAGGAGGAGGAGGAGCAGGGAAAACAAAAATGAGGAGGAGGAGGAGGAGAAGGAAAAACAATAAAAATGAGGAGGAGGAGGAGGAGGAGGAGGGAAAACAAAAATGAGGAGGAAAAGGAAAAACAAAATGAGGAGGTGGAGGAAAATAAAAAATGAAAAGGAGAGGGGTAAGTAAAACATTGCTTGCAGTGTAAAAAAGAGCTAGTTTGCCTTTATCCTCTTTAATATACACGATTTGCCTGCCAAAAATCAGTGAACCGGAACAAGGACAATCACAGCAGTAGGAAATAGGAAGTACATAATTACGTTACGTCTCAGTGATTTTAAGTCACCAGTATACTTAATTAAATCCACCGCATTTTATTCATGAGATGAGGACAATAGCCTATGACGTCATTGGCGTTAATGTATTCCTCCGCACTCTAATGAGAATCCTCCGCAAAAAACCGGAGTAACCGGTGCGCCCTATACTACTGTTAGTGTTCGCTACACTTGTTACTGTTCTATTATGTTACTGTTCGGAAACTGTATTATAGTTTGCCATATGTTTTTGGAATTGTACAGCTTGTATTGTAATGATTTGCACTGTCCATTAAACAATTCAAATGCACCTCAAAGCCTTTTTTGGGCCAATTTTGACTTAAAGAACACTTAATACCATCAATGGAGCCTTTAAAGTGACGTAATATTCGTGACCTCTATACAACGGACACCTCTCTAATACGGACACTTTGCTCTGTCCCTTCGGTGTCCGTATTAGAGAGGTTCGACTCTATTCCAAAGTTTTTCCTCTTTGATTTCATTAACACTGAGCGGTACCTTGGAAAGACGGATCTGCCAGACAGTTAAAATGTTTCTATAAAAAAGGGGGAGACCTTCTAGATCTAAAAATTTCAAATCGTAATTACACTGAAATAAAAAAGAGCATCCGAATCTTTCAAGATGAGAGTCAAGAAGCGCACACCAATGATGACCCTCCGATGAACAATAGCGATTTACCCAGGCAGCTTTAAGAGATTTTCTACGTCCGCGAAATTGACCTACCCTAGGTGCCAGAGACTTTTCTAGCGCGGTTTCCGGTTTCGGCCAACACCGAAAATTCCCACCGCACGCGAGAAAAACCTCTGGTACCCAGGGTAAAATTGACCATGCTAAGGCCACCTTTGAAGACTGGGCCTGTCAGCGTGTTTCTTTTGATTTTATCAGGCTTAAAGTTCCATATGAAAGGGAAAATGACCTTATTAACTTCTTTAGCAAAATCGGTCGGAGTATCAAGTACAGAAAAATTATAAGGAACAAGTTTAGAGAGTGCTAATGTTTTGACAATAGCAATTCGCCCCAGGATTGATAAGCACCGACCTGACCAAAGATTTAACACCTTTTTCTTTTAACAAGCCGTTCATCAACGTTGATTTTCTCTCCAACGTGCGTTTCATAAGCGAAAACTACGCTGAGGGAGGACACTCAATAGGGAGCTTGAGCAACAACGACGGCGAAGGCTACGAAAACGTCACTTAAAAAGTGAATTCGCGCTGCTTCAAACTTTACCGCGCATATTCCATCTCGTTTAATTTGTCATATGTGGGCAACTTTTTTGAAGTTGAATTCTGAAGGACTATATCAAATTTCAGGAAAAGAAAAAGAAAGTTGTTGTCTTGTGTTCCCGTCCTCGACAAAACGTGAAATTAGGCACTTTCACGTTGCAGTTGTGCAGTGACGGCAAAGAAATGTACAAAAAAGCGTGATGCACGTGCAATGTTGTTGTTTTGCTAATCCAACCTATGGCATTTTTTCCGTTCCCGTTGCCGTCGCCGTCGTCGTTGCTTTAACTCCCTATTGCTTCGGCCAAGAGATTCCAAATGGCTTGTCTTTACCTAATCTGTTTTTCCACAGTCCTAGCCACAGCCCATATATTATTTACTTAAATATTATTTTTATCTTTAGCGAGAAAGAACCGAGGATTGGTGAATTGGAGAAGGGTCAGTTAAGCAACAACAACGGCAACAAGAACGTCAAAATCAAAAAATAGTTAAGTAAGCAAAACAACAACTCTGCAAGTGCAAGTCACTTTTTAGTACATTTCTTTGCCGTCACAGCACGACTACGAAATGAAACTTCCTACCGCGGCCAATCAGACGACCAACTTCGAATTTTTCTATCTTTGTATAAACTTGATAGGGCTGTAACAATTTAACTCCAGAAAAAGTAGTCTCTATCAAAAAAAGCGAGGTAAAAAAAAAACAAACAAAAAAAAAAACGCGTGATACCACAGGTAAAAAGCGAATAAACTTGATCAGCAAGAAGACAGTTTTGTCCCATCAGCTCTTGCTAATTTAATGTACTTTTCGTATTTTATCTATTTAAATTATCCCTTATAAATATGACGTAGTTCAACGATGGCTAACTGGCTGTCTGTCTGCTACGTCTAGCAAGAACCACCCCGTCACTCTCGCGCAATTAGCTAAAGTATTTCCAGACAAAGGGGGAGTGTATGTGTACTGGTGTAAAAAGCAAGACTTCAGTTCAGATGTGCTCCAGACCCTTGTTTCCCTCTTCGTCAAAGTTGCTGCTGCGCAACTCGAGAAGGTTGTCTCTGGGCGCGGCGTTTAATGGAAGAAGTCCCATAATAAAGCTTCTATTTCTCTTTACATAAACAGCCCACCTTAAAAGAGGAGGCAAAATAAATATTAAATGAAAACGGAAACGTACCTCACAAATGGCCAATGACCATTATGCATGTTTACGTCAGACGAGCAAATTTCACCACCAAGCCTCGTTTTGATGTTGAAAAGTTTCCAAGTTTTGCATAAATAAATTCCCATGGCAGAACAGTTGAAAGGAACATTCACGCCCAAAGAGTGCAAATACGAAGAGTTTTGCTTACAAACGGGGCTTGGTGGTGAAAGTTGCTCATCTGACGTAATCACGCACAAGGGCCGTCCCAAGTTGTCCAAAGCCTCAGTTTCAAAGCGAGGCTAAGTGCAAAGCCATTGATATGCACTCTCGTGCAAATAAAACTCATTTTCACAAGAAAGGGTTTCCACTGAGCCTCGTTTCGAAAGGGAAACTTTCTGGAAATCGGAGATGGTCTATTGCCAAAATGCAGGCCCTTTGTCCGTTTTTAGTTTGTCTTATTAGAGACCTTACAAGATCGAGGTTTGGCCATCTTACCGCAAACGGCAAACCGCGGTTTGCAGTTGGCGGTTTCACTTTAGCCGTCTGCCCATATTTGGAACTTAAGTTTTCATTCATTCGTTGAAGTCTATTTTAGCTAAAGCATCGTCTTGCAAAATTACGTTTCGATGATTAATAAGCAAAAGAGGTACTATCTCCTCTCAAACCGTGGGCTTGTGATGTTATAGGTCACAAAAGACCTTGTGATACTTCACTTATATCAACAGCGTTGTCTAGCCATACAAACGTGAACCTCAAACCGCAAAGCTGACGGCAAGGTACTAGTCACGTGACTTCTTGACTTTCACGGTTTGCGGGAACTCCGAAAAACAACCGACTCTTAATTAAGGTCTCTATTGACATATAAACCGTACCTGTAACTTCAATGCTTGCGCCCGTGATATAACTGCTTCTGTCAGATGCAAGGAAGGTTACCACATCAGCTACGTCTAAGAAATTCATCAGCGGAAAAATTCATCACCAACAAAAGCAAAAGAAATAGAAACAAGACGAAGTTAAGTCCTTTTTGAACTGTTTCATCAACGTTTATGAAAACATATCATCTGTATCTCGCTCTGAACTAACAAAGGGTAAAGGTAGAACGCAAGAAGAACGCGTACTCAAATCCTACACAGAACAAGAATTTTGGCGCTGTTTCGAAGACGGACTTAACCAGAGTTTAGTTTCGTCTGTGGCGCAGACAGCAAAGACCTGATGAGTGTACCATCAAAATTTTCAGAGGTGCCGTGGGTTGAATTTAGCGGTAACTAAAACTGTTGTTGACAGAAAGTTGTCAAATAAGATGAGAGGCTCAAGTGTCATTTCAGTACTATAAGGACAGATAAGCCATCCTATACCAGTGCACCAAGTTAAGTTCATTTGTGAATGGCCTTTTACGGTCTGTAAAGTAAAACATGTGGAAACAAAGAAACTCACACATCACAAACTCTTCAAATCAAAGGTTCACCGTTCTAACCTGATGGTTGGCCAAGTCTGAGCATAGGAATCTGTTTCTTTAACTGGAAAAATGAAATAGAATATATTTAGGAATCATTTTGTTAAATCAAAATTTTGGTTAACTGCTTTTGTCACTAGAAACTCATGGGAATGAACCCATTCAACCAGAATGACCAATGAAGTCTTGTAAGGTGTTTCTCACCTTCGAGTTTGTGAATGAAATCCTACTATGTTACCATTCAAATGAAACCTCTTAAGCAGTATTTTCACATGGTACTGTTTATTTAGTATGTAGTTTTAACTCTTGAGTTTGTGAACGAAATCCTATGGTGTTACCATTCAAATGAAACCTCTTCAGCAGTACTTTCACATGGTGCTATTTATTTAGTATGTAGTTTCAACTTTTGAGTCTGTGGATGAAATACTGTGGTATGAAACCTCTTCAGCAGTACTTTCACATGGTACTATTTATTTAGTATGTAGTTTTAACTTTTGAGTTTGTGAACGAAATCCTATGGTGTTACCATTCAAATGAAACCTCTTCAGCGGTACTTTCACTTGGTACTATTTATTTAGTTTTTAATTCTAACTTTTGATTCTTTGGACCAAATCCTATGGTGTTACCATTCAAATGAAACCTCTTCACCAGTACTTTCACATGGTACTGTTTACAATGTATTTAGTATGAAGTTCTATTTTTTGATTCTTTGGACGAAATTCTATGGTGTTACCATTCAAAAGAAACCTCGTTGGCAGTAATTTCATGTGATACTATTTGCTTTATATTTCAACATTACACAAATTAAATTTGGAAATTTTGTTGAATTTTAAATATGACCACTTTTGGGAGTGAAAATGTTAAACTGAACCAATGGTCACACACCTTTTCTATGACTTTTTCGGGGACAGCATCAGTCATCGGAGTTTCAATGAAACCAGGTAGAACGGCATTACATCTAACACCAAACCTGAGACACACACAAAGCAAAAGCAATGTAAACTGTTAGCAATTTGTTAAAATTACACCAGTTGATAACAGCACTTCATTGAAAAACAAAAATAGTATTATTTTGTCTTTAATGCACGTAAGTAACACTTACTGTCCAACCCAGAAAATAGTGAACACTTGAAATATTGCAGGAATGTTTATTGTACTGTAACCAATCACAATAGGGCCATTTATACGAGGAAAAATAAGATGCAAACTGTACCATTTATACGAGTATGTCTTAATGTCTTATGTAAGACGGGAACAGCTTGTATAAATGGTTCGCGTCTTATTTCTGTTCTTGACTCGTTTTCATGTGAATGTTGCCCGTAGCAAATTAACGCATGCGTATTATGCGTTCGCGTCTTATGTAAGACAGGAAGGTCATTTATACAAAGTTTTTCTTGTCTTAGCTAAGACGCGTCTTATCTAAGAATAGGTGTTAAGGGCTGTTCTAAAATAAGACGCGTCTTAGCTAAGTCGCGTCTTGTTATTTTTAGACGAAATGTGCCGTTTATGCGGAAAGTTCGCATCTTATTTTAAGATGCGTCTTATTTTTCCTCGTATAAATGGCCCTAATATGATCAGGAGATGCAAACAAGCCACAAAACCACACACTAATTACCGTTTGTACTTGGAGCTAAAGTTTTCTCATGCCTGATTGGGCTTTCCTTGCAACACAAAAACAGTCCAGAAATAATTTCAGGTGTTCCTGGTTCCCTGAATTTCACAGCAAACTATTAATTTATGCCACTGACTTATTGTGGAATTCACATTCTGGTCAAGTTAGATTAATCTTCATGGCTAGTTAGGGGAATACACCCACACTCCCAAAGAAGAAAATACTTGGAAGACCAAATGACCCTGGGAACCTAGACTGCAAAGTTAAAAACCATTAATTGGCAAAATTCAATGCAACTCGTCATCCAGTAAATAATTAAAACTTAGGGTACTACAGGCTGGTACAGTGTAGAAAGCAAAACATACAAATACTCTTCTTTTCTGCAACTTTCCTGCTACATACTTAGCAAGTTCTTTGGCACATGACCTAGTGAGTCCCTCAACACCAGCTTTAGAGGCAGCATAGTTAACCTGACCAAGATTTCCAACCTGGTATTGTAAAGGAAGAATGTTTCCAAAGACATGATCATATTGATGCAGTTGTAGGATAAGTTGAGGACTGGAGTTTTGGGTTACTCATGGTGGAATTGTGGTCATTTTGCTCAAAAGTCACCTTGTATGACAGCATTTTGCCCACTTACCTGGGTTATTTCAATTGATTGGGACTCCATGTAGCTTTTTTTTGTTATGGTTGCAGAAAAAAGGCCAGCAGTCTGAACTTAGCAATATGGCAATGATCATATGGAAAATATCCATAAGACAGAAGTGAGGTCTACCTCAGCAAATGTAAGGATCATTATGTTGATCATTGAGAGAGATTGTGGTAAATTTTTACTAGAAAAAGCTGTTAATCCACATAGCTGTAAAGTCACTGTCTTTCCTTCCTGCGACAAATACATATTGCAAACATGGATTTACGAGCCGTGTTATTGATGGCTTTGCCTGGAAATATTTGACAGTTCTGTGTGAACAGTGCAAAAATATTGAACGTTTTGTGTGAACAAAGTGTCCGGTCAAATTTTTCAACTGTCATTGAAAATTCAAGCGGTACTGTGTGAATGTAGCCTGAATGAAACTGTTAAATAGGGAGTTTTAGCAATGATGACAGCTACGGCAGTGAAATGAATTAGCAATGAATTAGAAATGAATTATGAATTTTAAAATGAATTAGCGTTTTTCAAACTTTATCGCATTTATTCCAATTCACTGAAAATGTCTAATTTAGGCAAACTTTCCTTAGAGTTGATTTCTTGGGGACCACACTCAAGCTTAGAAAGAGAAAGAAAATTTCCTCGTCACTTGTTACATCCTTGATAAAACGTGAAATTAGGCATTTTCCATCGCAGTCATGCAGCAACAGCAAAGAAATGTACAAAAAAGCGCAATGCACATGCAAACTTGTTTTTTTTGCGTAATAATCCTTGCTGTTTTGACGTTCTTGTTGCCGTTACCGTTTTTGATGCTAAAACTCCCTATTGACTTTCAGGCAATTGGTTCCACTGTACAGCACACCATATAAATTTTTCGGGTGTTACGAAAACTAAGACCCTCGAAAACGAAGACCTAAGACCTAAGACCCGTCTTAGTTTTCGAGATTACGAAAACTAAGACCCCCTAAAATCGAATCCGTCGAAATATAAAGTCAAATTGTAACCGAAATAGGTCTGATCTGTCAAATTATATCATGTTCGATCCTTTCCACCGAGTTTTAGGTCAAATTTAACGGTAAATTTAGGGGTCTTAGTTTTCGTAATTACGAAAACTAAGACCCCCACCAAAACAATCTCTAAAATTTCTACAAAGTCGAATTACGACCGTTTGAAGACTATAATCCGTAAGACAAACAAAAATTACTATCACGCGTGCTGATCTACGATCCGCTAACAATTTGAAGACTCGCTTAAAAAAGAGGACCAAAGCGATAGACTTCCTACAGATCTATTGTACACTGAAAATGCCTTACCCCTGTTGGTCTTTAATTTTGTTGTTTATCCTTTAAATCATGAAATTGGCTTTCCACTGGAGATGGATGTTTTTCTTCGTGTCTCTGCGATCGAGATTGCGTTACCTGTAACTATCACCTGAGGGGGTTTGTGTCCACCGCTTGTCGTGGACAAGCGGGGAGCGCGGGGAGGGGAGCGGGGGAGGGAATTGCTAGTCTCGTGTGGTCACAAAACCTCTCGCGTGAGTCGATGTTATTTTTTATTTGCCCGTTAAAAACCGGGGATACCGCGGGTAGGGGGCGGGTACAAAGGGGTACTCGGGTCATAATTTCTACGGTGGGTATCTTCTGTTTGCGTCTCCAAGTTTGGACCGCTTTTTATAAAGAATTTCTTCCCAAAACAATACCCCGTTCGAGCAGTGGCTGAATTTTTAGCAACCCGTTCTAGAATTTAAGACTATTTGAAATCCCTCCCATTGGTGATGACAAACTTTATATTGTAAAAAAGTGAACCTTGGATTTAATGTATTGGATTTTGGTTGGGTTATTGGCTAAACATCACACAAAAACAAGGATTTTCAAGCTCCTTTTCTGATTAGGCCTTAGCCAATTAATATTACTGATTTAAAATGGCGAGAAAAGAAGTATCTCCTACAAAGAGTCCACCTCCCGACCCCTTAACTAAACGAAAAAAAAAAAATCACAAAATAAATGAATTTCAACAAATGTCATGATTTAATAAATCCGTTGGAAAAAAAGAATCTTAAACAGACTAAACTATGATATAATCAGCAATAATAGTTTCGTAATTCTTTCATTTACACTTTCGTTTTGATGTTGATCTCACGGTGTGACGTGTAAATGTACATTATACTATGATTAACCCATGCAGAAAAAAATATTTCATTGTGGTGACACTAAACGTTCTAGATAAAAAAGTGATTTGATACTTCTTCTAATCGTGTAAACAAACATATGAGAGAATGTGTGTCATTTATCGGTTAACATTTGAATAGGCTGCAATAATCACTTAATATTCAGTGAATTATACTTTTCTTGGTATTGAAATTGTACTGCAAACATATTATGCATCATATTAATTTCTGTCATACACTATAGATGAGTCCAAGAACTGAAACGGTAACAATAACAATTAACTTATATGTCGACTGCAACAGATAACTTGTACACGAAACCCCTTCTGCTCAAGATTTCACAGCTTTAAACAGAATGTAGCCGAAAAGCAGCTTGCGTTCCTAGTAGTGCCGGTACGAAACGGTTAGTAATTATACTTGTGATGGCGCGAAAACAGGAAAACTGTTTTTGAGTGTCGCGCTCGAATATTGCAAATACCCCCATCACACAAACGCACACCCCAAAAGTAGTGCTACGCAATCTTTGAATTGAAACGGTTAAAAAAATTGCATTTTCGGTTCCAACGTTGGCGGCGCTCTTTGCATAGCAGGTCAGGTGTTTCATTTGCGAGTGCTGCAGGTGCATGGGGGGTTCAAACCCTGGAAGCTTGCCTTATCCTAACCCTATCCTAAGTAAAGGGTTTGCCGAGTCACACCTGCACCTGAAAAATAAACCACTATAACTGATGGAAATTCGTTTCCAAGTGGTGTTGAAAGTTTTTTAACTTGCAACTTGCGATTGTAAATTTTTGCCAAGTAATTAAGAAGCAATTGTTTGTTTCTTTTACAGATTTCTTTTAAAAATTGAAAAATCGACAAATGTTGATTACTCCGACACAACACCAGTCGATATGATTTCCATCGATTATGACCGCTTATTGATTGTATGGATTGCTTACCCCACGCAAAACTGAAAATGAACGAAACGAAAGCAGCTACAAAACAATGCACTTCCCCAGTTACTGAGAAAGTTTTTTTAAAATATTTGTAAACGAATGTTTCACAAGGAATCATTGTCATAATTGCAGGCCAAAATGAGTCACCAAGTAGGACTTGTGCGACTCATGAAGGACAGCTAAAACATCAGGAGGTATGGCTATGTACTCCTTGCAAAAGTACGGGAATCGGGCCTTCATGCATGCCAGATCTGCATGGTAGTACCTGATTACCTCTCTGGCTGAGGCTTGTTTCTGCTTCCAGTCTCCGTTGAGCGGAAAGTAGTAGCGTTCTAGATGTTCAAAAACTAAAGCGTTAGGAATGACACGTACCCTGTGGCAGAAATCTGTCTTGCATTGTCTGCAACTTTTAGCGTCCTTAGGAAGGATGCGCAACACGAAAGGATTGTCATTGTGATGGATTTCGTTATATAAGTATCTTCCAGAGCCATTATTCGAACGTTCCTGGGCCTGGGCGCGTTCTGGTGTTTATTTATTTATTTATTTATTTTATTTATTATTTTCCCACAATAAAGATTACACAAGCATTACATTATACAAAGATGTGGCGAGGGGACCTCAGAAAACCACAAGGCTTGTACGAGGAGGCCCCCTCGTTACAATAATATTAAGCAATAGAACTATAACAACACACAACAACGGACAGTACAAGACGCATTATCGATATAGTAGAAAATCAAAAACTTTCGTGTTAAACGATTGCAATGTAAAAATCGAAGTGACTGAGTTTGGTAAAGAATTCCAAATTTTAGGGCCTTGGAACAAAATAGAAAATTGTTTGGTGTTAGTTCGGCAGGCATGAGAACGGAAATGCGAGGAACTTCTAGTATTATAATTATGAATATTGCTACTAGTAACAAAAAGGTTCGAAAAAAGCGGTGGCAGTAATTGATGATAATATGAAAACATAAATTGTGCAGTATAGAATGAATTAATGTTGTATATGTCCAAAATCTTTAAACGGAAAAATAATGGTTCAGAGTGCGCGCGAAAATCTGCATTTGTAATAATTCGTACTGCTCGCTTTTGTAGAAGAAAAATTCTATTAAGGTTTGTTACATAAGTGGAGGACCAAACTGTGGTACAATATGTTAAATAAGGATAAATTAAGGTATAATAAAGAGACTTTTTTTTGTTGTTTCAGAAAGAAAGAAACGAGACCTAAACATGACGCCAATAGATTTTGAAATTTTCTTACATATATAAGTAATATGCGGCTTCCACGTTAGATGCTCGTCGATAAAAACCCTAAAAATTTAACTACCTTTACTTGTTTTAATAAAACCTCATCGTACAAGACAGGATTTATTGGGAAGCCGACTGGTTTTTGCCTTGCTGCAAAAAATGATATAATTAGTTTTCGTTATGTTAACAGAGAGCTTATTTGCTTTCATAAAAAAATCAATTTGAGATAAATCATTATTTACGGCAGAAATAGCACAATTTAAATCGGGATTAGAATAAAACACACTAGTATCATCTGCAAAAAGCATAGTTTCAGCAAGACGAGTAGCACAAGGGAGGTCATTGATATACAAAACAAACAATAATGGTCCTAATATAGAACCTTGAGGGACTCCACAGCTCAGAGTCAGCCTAATAGAACAAGTCTCTTTGTACTGGACAAACTGCACGCGATTTGACAAATAGCTTTTCAACCAGCTAAGTGCTAGCCCATGAATCCCATAATGCTCAAGCTTAGACAAGAGTATTTGATGGTCTAAAGTATCAAATGCTTTTGATAAGTCTAAGAATATGCCAACTGTATATTCGCTTCTGTCAATAGCAGTTGCAATTTTATTAATAAGATGAATTAAAGACAGCGCTGTAGAATATTTTTACGAAATCCAAATTGGCAACAGTATAAGATATCTAAACGATCTAAAAATTTGTAATACGATTGTGCATAACTCTTTCAAAGAATTTAGAAAAATTAGAAAGAAGCGAAATTGGACGGTAGTTAGTGAAATACTGGGAATCACCAGCTTTAAATACCGGAATCAGTTTAGCAATTTTCAGTTCATCAGGAAATACTCCTTTAATAAGAGACAAATTGATTACATTGGCCAAAGGCTGAGAAATGAGATCAAAGGTGCTTTTTATTATATCCATTGAAACGTTATCATATCCAGGCGACTTTCCAGATTTAAAAGAGTTGCATATTTGATTTAGTTCCGAAATATTAGTTGGATTTAAGATAAGCGACTCATTAACAGAAGCGCCAAGAAAACTACGAAAAGATACTTGTGTGTCTGGAATTTTCCTTGCTAAATTCGGACCTATGTTGGTGAAGAACTTACAAAAGCAGTTAGCTATTTCTTGTGGATCATTTAACAGTTTTCCATCAGAGAAAAAGGAATTTGGCAGAGCTGCTTTTCTGCTCGGTTTGTTGATTACATCATTGATTAGTTTCCAAGTTTCTTTCAGGTTATTTTTAGCCTTCTCAAATTTTGTATCATAGTACTTTCGTTTAGCAATTTTTATAAGATGATTCAGTTTGTTCCGATAGCGTTTGTATTTTAACTCAGTAGTTGAGTCCCTAGAATTAATGAACTGCTTATAGAGTTTATCTTTTTTCCTGATAGAAACAAGCAGAGATTGCGTTATTGCGTTATTGCGTTTCTGAACGTGGAGGTCGGTATGGGTACTTACTTTTAGCCCCTTTCTTTCCTGCCACGTTTTTATTCACGTTGGCCTCAACCAAGCTTGATCTTCTTCCAGACCCGGGTATCCTTGATGCTTTTGTTATATGTTTCAAGTGCTGCTCTAGAATTCCGACTTTCTCTGCCACAGCAATTGAATGCTTGCATACACTGTCATACTTGTAACTTGCGCAGCGGCAGGACACGTGGCTCGTGTTAACAGTGCACTCTAATTCTCCGTGTTTTGATTTCTTAGAGGCGACTTCATACCTTTGGTTTTTCGAGAGGTCGATGGTCGCCTTTTTCGAAATCGCTGTAGGATGGTTAAGTAATTCTAGGGCTCCCTCCACCACAGCAGTCACTAATTCATTCTTGTACTTTTTATTTTCTTTTAACACCACGGCTACATCTGCGGACATCTCCTTGTATTCATTGGACTTTCCAATTTCCTTCAGGTCTTGCGCCACCCTGATAGCTTTACCTTGTATAGCATCGTCAACTGACATGGCATTGAACTTAGCGACGTAGTCTTTTCTCTGGTATTCGCTCCAATCGAACCAGGTATCGATGGGCACTTGAAGGTGTTCTGCAGTCTTGTTGAGCCTGTATTCATTACTTAAACCACATAAAGCCAATTTTAGTTCTCGCATCTCTCTTTCGTGGATTTCTTCAAATACGTGCCTTGCAAATTCAAGCTTGGAAAGGTTCTCGTTTTTGCCTTTGTTATTGTATCTCAGGAAATCGTTCTTTGCTTGTGACATGACATTGTTCATGGATTCTGATGAGTTGGTGTAAGGGCGGAGAGGTGTTCCTTTCTCATCAACTGGCATATGTGCTTCGCGTCTCGCTTTTAAGCTCATTGACTTACTTATAATGTCTTGTCTATCCTCAATGTACTGGGAAAACTTCGGAACGTAATTCTCATTCTTTTGCAGGAGATGGATTTCTTTGTCATCAAGTTCAAGTTTGCACTTTTTCAGCCTACTTTTAACATCGCTTTTATTCTCACCATCCACAATTCCGTTGTTTTCGTTCAATTCTCCGAAAACCTTTCCGAGGAAAAATTTTTGCTGTTTTCCCTCTTCAATTCCGATGGAATTAAGCTTTTGCTTACAGTTGCTTTCAAAATGTTTCATACATCTGAGATGCCGT